TTAGGATTACAACCTGCTGGCAATGGAATTTGATTATAAAAGGATCAAGTAGGACAGTTTCTCACTATCTCCTTGGCTTGTTGCCAAGTGATGGAGAAGTCCTTCTTTAAACCTTTGCTATTTACATGATGTTTTTGTGAAATTCTGAGGCTTCTAGCACAGTGCCAATTAATAAATGATCAATCTCGTCATTGCCTTGTGCTAGTGGGCCTGGCAGACCCTTATGGGATCTGATATGTGTAATATATATAGGATTACTTCTGTTTCTGATTGTTTCCTGTAATTGTAAGAACCGTTGTTAGTTAGGTTAGTTCAGTATTATCAGGGACGAATTCTGCGGTTTCTATGTGTAAGACGACTCTCTCTGCCTATTGGGAATCAGTAACTATGCTAAGAGGCTCTGTGAAATCCGTAAGCACCATGAGAATTGCATAAAATTCTGCCTTCTGTACAGATGTGTACAGACTTTGAACTACTTTACTTACCTCACTTGCTTTATAATCAGCCTTACCTGATTTGTTAGCATCAGTGTAGAAGGTAAGAACTCCAGAAATGGGAGTTTGTCTTACAATACGTGGAAGAATCCAGACTGTCTTTTTTTATGAATTTAATTCTGTCGGTTTTGGGATAGTTGTTGCTAATTGTTCCCAAAAAGTCAGTAAGAGCTATTTGCCAATATTCATTATCCTTCCATAAGGAGGAAATTTCTTCATTAGTTAAAGGTACTATAATTTCTGCTGGATCTTTCCCAGTCAGCTGACGAAGTCTTAATTTGCCCTTTAAAATCAAATCAGAAATCTTTTCTATATACATCTTTAACTTTTTATTCTGTTTATGTGGCAGAAATATCCATTCTAATATAGTGTCTTCCCTCTGCATCAGAATTCCACAAGGATATTCTCTGGATGGCAAGATGACCAGAATGCAAGCCCCACATTGGGCACCAGGTATAAGGGTTAGGATGTCTTTATTCAGATTAACACCAGCCAAACACAAGCCAGAGAGAGTGCCCTGAGGCAGCAAGCTAGGGAGCCCAGAAAGAGGGCACTCCTCACAGGCATAGTCAAGCATATCTGTAGCCGGCTCCTAGGAGGTGGGGCTACAGTGTCTCCCTACACTCATACTTATAAGACAAGCACTCTATGGGCCAAGCCATCTCTTCAACCCTAATATTTCAGTTTTTGGCATAACTTTGGGTATGCTGCCTTCATGCTCATCTCTTGTGATGTTGGGGGTCCTGCCTTGGCTGCCTCTGTCACTGCTCTGGGAACACCTTGCTGGAATACACACGTGTGTATCACCGGCCTCAGACTTGTGGTTCTCCTTCCTGGTGTGACAGAACGGCAGACATGTATCAGCATGCCTGGCTCTAGTCACCATCTTCATCTAGAAGTTGTCAACACAAAAACAAAAGTTTACAAAGGTTAGTTAGAATTCAACATTGAGGAGCTGGAGAGATGGCTCTGTGCTATAAAATGCTTTTGCCAAACACACAAGGAACTGAGATCAAGTCACCAGAATCTACATGTGGCTATGACATAGAAACGCACGCACGCACGCACGCACGCACGCACGCACGCACATGCAGAGACAGAGAAACAGAGACAGTCATAATTAAGAACTAAGAACTAGGTAGTTGCTTTTAATCCCAGCATTGGGAAGACAAAGGCAGGTAGAACTCTGAGTTCAAAGTTAATCTGGTCTACAGAGCAAGTTCCAGGATAGCCAGTGCTACACAGGGAAACCATGTCTCAGAAAAACAAACAAACAAATGAACAAAGGAACAACAAAACACACCACCCCCCCAAAAAAAGAACTGGTCAGTTAAACATTAGGTGGAGCTCAGGGAATCCTGCTGAAGAGAGGGAGGAAGGATTGTAGGAGCCAGAGGGGGCAAATACATCACACACACACACACACACACCCACACCCCCCCCCCCCCACCCCACCACAAAAAAAAAAAAAAAAAAAAAAAAAAAAAAAAAAAACCAGAATCATAGGGGCTTACAGAGACTGAAGTGACAACCAGGGAGTCTGCATGGGACTGGCCTAGGCCCTCTGCATACGTTACAGTTGTGTAACTTGGTCCTCTTATGAGACTCCTAACAGTAAGAACAGAGACTGTCTTTGACTCTTGCCAGCTTTTGAGACCCTACTCCTGTGTGGCCTTTTCCAGCCTTAATACAAGGGGAGGAGTTTTGTCTTACTGCAATTTTCTATGTCATGTTTTGCTGATATCCATGGGAGGCCTGCCCTTTTTGGAGGAGTAGATGGGGGAGGGGCAGAGTGGAAACTGCAGAGTGGGATCTCTCCTCCTTCCCTGGCCAGCTGATCCCTCTGAGGACCTGGAAGAAGTGAAGACTGAGAATATCAGAGAAAGCATGGCGACTGAGCCAGCTCTCCGTCCCTAGTCCTTCCTAACCGAGGTCTAACCCTGCTCTTTCCCTGTGTTGGGGTTACTATTGCTGTGATGAAACACCATGACCAAAGCAAGCTGGGGAGGAAAGGGCTGAGGGAAAGGGTTTATTTGGCCTACACTTCCACATCACTGTTCATCATCAAAGGAAGTCAGGACTCAGGACGGGAACTCACACAGGACAGGGACCTGGAGGCGGGAGCTATTGCAGAGGTCATGGAGGGCTGCTGCTTACTGGTTTGTTCGCTTTGGCTTGCTCAGCCTGCTCTCTTATAAAATCCAGGACCGCCACCCACAATTTTGGCTGGGCCCTCGCCCATTAATTAATAATAATTAAGAAAATGGCCTATAGGTTTGCCTACAGCCCACTCTTACAGAGGCCTGTTTTTTTTTTTTTTTTTTTTTTTGAGACAGGTTTCTCTGTGTAGCCTTGGCTGTCCTGGAACTTGACCAGGCTGGCCTCAAACTCACAGAGATCCATCTGCCTCTGCCTCCCGAGTACTGGGATTAAAGGTATGCCACCACCATCAGGTGGAGGCATTTTCTTAACTGAGGCTTCCTTCTCTAACTGACTTTAGCTTGTGTCAAGTTGGGATATAGCTATCTAGCACACCCACGTCCCCAACTTCTGCTCACTAAAAGCAGCCCTGCCTACCACGCCTTAGAGGCAGCCCGAAAAATGGTGTGAGACGTGTGTGGGCATCCTGAGTCCTGGGTCCCCAGAGCATCATCTAAAAGCATTCCTAACCTCCCGTGAGGGCTCTGTGAGCTATTTAGGCAGCTTGTTCTGGGCATTAAGAGGCAGGACCCAGAGAAAGGATGTGGCCAGAAAAGAGCCAGGCCAGAGCCCAGGTAGGACCTTGCAGGGAGGGCCTGGGCTCTCATGTCCTGACTGGTCTACAATCTAACCCCATCTCTTGCAGGGATGATCCTGGCTGTCCTACTGCATCAGGGTCACCTTCCCCGCCTTTTCCAGAGAAATCTGTTCTACCGGCAGAAAACAAAATACCGAACTCCCAGAGGGAAGCTGTCCCGGGGTGCTGTGGATACCCAGATGTCCACAAAGGAGTAAAGTGGCAGAAGTTTGTAGCTTTTATATACCAGGGCTGTAGCCACCGGGGTCCAGCTGAGCTGTCTTGCTCACAGAGGCTTCAGTCACCTCTTGAAACTTCTGGGTTCCCCTCCATGGAAATCATTTATCAATAAACAGTTGCTAAGACCCACCCATATCCCTGGCCTGACAGAAGCTTCTGGAAGGACAGGTGAGTGTGAGTCCTTTTTACCTTTCTTTCCTGATTCATGTTTACACAATGATAATAAAAAGTAATGCTACAAAGACTGGCAAAAAGCCCAGGGTAAGCTAACCTGGGCCTGGCCACCTGGTGCAGTCAAGAGAGACCTAAGACTTCCTGTGGGCCCCAAGGATTACAGTAGACCCTGCAATGGAGATTTCAATGACTGTTCCTGGCACAAGGAACCCAATGCTGATACTTATCAAGTTTCCTGCCCTTAGGACACTGGTTATTTATCCCCCAAGGCTAGGCTGTCCCTTACTCCAGGAGTTCCTGGGTCATAGCATGTGGTGGTATAGGACTTGAGGACAAAACAAGGGCATAGTCCTGGTTTCCTGGATACTGGTGAGGCCACTCCGAAGAGAAAGAAGACCTTTCCAGGCCTTTCCATGCCTGCCCCTTTACCTTCTCTAAGGCCCCTCTGCCTACCCATTCTGGCAGAGGTCCCTGTCTAGAACCCTTAGACTCTCTCCCTTTGTTGTATGACTAACCTGGGAATGGGTGACAGGACCCCAGTTCCCCAGTGGCCCATAGAAGGGGCTGCAGAGCCAGCTCTGTGTGGCCTCTGACTTTGGGATGATGAGAGCACAGAGTTGGAGATGTGGGTTACAATGGATGGTGTGCCTACAAAGGATAGTGATAAGGGCTATGAGCCTACCAGCTTCCTGCAGGGCTTTGTAGATGCATCAGGCCTGGGGTGGCGTCATAATTGTTGCACCAGCATCCTAGGAGCTGAGACAGCTCCTCATGGCCACACTGAACCCAGGGAAGCTGGCAGCCTGTGGTCCTCATGGCCTGCACAGATGGCCAGGACAGGAATCCTGCTGTGATTAAAGTGTCTGGGTCACAGTCCTATTACATGATATGGCAGAACTTGGTCCATTGTGTAAAGTGAGAATATAATACATTAATGTAGGGTGTCATACAGGGTGCTGTACACAGAGGATGTAAGAGCCATGAGTGTCTGTGCTGTGATGGTTATAGGACAGCTTGGAGCTCTTCTAGAAGTGTGTGACTATTGTGTGCACATGCTTGTACACAGGTGCAAATCCACATGGACGGGGTAGAGGGTGGATATCCACACACAATTTCTGGTAGAAATTTATCCCAGAGTATGCTGCTAGTCTTTGGTGTACCGATGCTTGCTGCACCCCTGTTTCCAATGCTTTGGAAAATTGACCATTTTCACTATGGTATGTCTAAGAAGTGACATGTTGAGAAATCTCAAAAATGCCATAGGTTAAGATTTGTTGACAAAATAAAATGAATTATTTTTGTAGAAAATAAATCTATCTAGCAAAAAACAAAACAAACATATGTCCCGCGCATGCTTTAATGCATCTTACCAGAGTGGAGACTGAGCGGAGACATTGAACCAAGAAAACCAACCCTATATAAAGGCTGGCCAGCCGCCTGGGACGTGTTACCCTATGAATGGCTTCAGCTCCTCAGGCCAAATGAGCCACGGGATAGGCAGAGATCAAAGGAATGGAGCATGCCCAGCGCCAGTGAAGTAATTCACATCTTGGTGTCGTTAGGCACCATTATAATGCAGGAACCGGCTTCCTACATATCCCCCTTTTTTATTAATTAATGAAAAGGCTTTATATATTTTTATAAGCAAATAGGTCACCCAAATGTTGAGGGATAGAGGTAGAGGCTGAACCTTCCCAAAATCAAACATTAAGACTGTGTACAAGAGTCGCCCTCAGGCTGTTAGCTTGACCCGAAGCGCTCTTGACCTGTCCTCTGCCGTTTTTCTGGGAAAGGGAAGTCTCAGGGCAGGTAACCCTTATGCAGGTCAACGTACCTCCCAGAGAAGCCTGCATAATAGGCAACTCTGTGCGATGCCTTTGCTCAGCATCCCTCATTGGGCTGCCCAAACCAGACACTCTACCCTGTGCAATGAGCCTAGGCTCCGGGTGTGCAAGAGCTGTCTGGCCGGCGGCCTATCGCTTAAGCATAGTTAGCCAAAATATAAACGCTTGGGCGAATCTCTTGGTTTGAGCCCTGGAGCTTACATGCCAGCCAAAGAAGTAACAGCAATCCGCAAGCGGCTGCATCAAACAATTTCACCCACCCCTTTTCTCACAGACCAGCCAAAAATAACAGCAATCCGCAAATGGCTGCATCAAACAATCCCACCCCCACCCCTTAAGCAG